CAACCTCGTACACCTTAATTACAACCTTTACGAGGTATAATTTTTATTGCTGTTTTCTCTGCAACCTTAAATATACCTCAAAACAACCTTAATACCTCAAAAATACCTCAAATCAACCTTAGATATACCTTAAATTTTCGTAAGGGTTGGTCCCTACGCAGACTGATCGAAAGTAGTCACCCACCCACACAGTGATGGTTGATTTCGGTGATATGCTGGGAACCGTGTCTTACCGATCAGTCCACAGCGGGACTCCATAGAGGTAAACTGTTTAGTTAGGGGCTTATTATTTGGGTTTCATGGCAGAGTAAGTGATTCAACAATAATGAGTTCTGCAAACTAAACATTGATAAATTCCGTATGCCTTTGTGAAGCAGCAATGAACTTCGTCATTGCCATCCAAACTTTTATAAATTAGAATATAAGTTTAGAGCCTCAATCGGTGACCTTAAGATACTGGAACACGCAACTCTCTCGTGCGCACAGAGAGGGCAGCACCACAACTGTGCTCATCACAACTAATCTAGTATCTCCTATCTCTCACACTAGATGAGAGTAATAAAAAACAACGCAACCCTATCCAATATCAAGTGAATTTGTGACCGCCAAATTATTTTTATCTTGATATAACATTGTTTTGTTGTTTTATATTTAGCTTTAATTTATAGATACGTAAAATTTATCTTAGAAAAATAATCTTCAATTGTCTGCTTTCAGAATGTTCCTCTTGAATCATACAGTTCAATAGATTCTTGTTAGGACTACTCTTCAGTAATTTAATTTTAAAATATCTTGTAAGGGGCCCAGAAAATTTGGTGGACCTTGGGCCTGAATTCGTCTTGATCGGTCCCTGGGGATGGACACGGCTCCGGCCTGCTCCTTGAAGCCGGCTATTTGCTTTATCTGAGATGGCTAACATGACCGGCTGCACGGGGGTTTGAATAAAGAGCACTGACCCTACAATATTTAATCCTTTCTTTTGAAACATGAGGAGTAATCATTGTCCAGCACTTCTCACGCATAAATAACATTTTCTAAAATAAAATATTTAGAGGAAAGTAAATACACGAAAATTGTCAAATTTTCAAAATATCAATTGAAATTTTTTTAAATAGGTATTGTAGAAAAAAAATTCTAAATTTTTCATAAAACTGCATGCAATGACTTAGATATGAGTTTGCATGCAATGACTTAGATATGAGTTTGCATGCAATGAGTTAGATATGAGGTCTCCCTCACACGAAAGGACACTTTGAGTTTTGAAAGGGAACTCACTTAACAACACAAAAAATTTTCAAAATGTGTAATGTCATGTACTAACTGAATTTGATGCTCAGATGCTCAACAATTTTTAAGTTACTGTCTTATACTATTTTATATGTATATTTCAGAAAGTAATTTTTACTCATTATCTAAATAAGAGAAAAATTTAAAATAATAATTAAGAATAATAATTAAAGGCATGTTAAAAAACAATCTTTGTGCATAAATTGTTTTTGTTTTTTTTGAAAAAAAAAAAAAGCCAACTAAAACATTTATTTTTCGATAAACAGCTTAAAAGATTTTTTTATAATTTTAAAGTGAAAATAATTAGAAAATAAACATTTAAAGGTATCTTTTTCTTAAAAAAAAGGTATTTATTTAAAAATTTAAAATAAATTTATTAATATACTCCTTGAAAAAAAGAGAAGCTTATAAAAATGACACCAGTTGAGAACAATCCTAACAAAGTAAATATTTGTAATAGTAATCAGAATTAAACCTATAAACACAGATAATTTTTGTGGATAATTTGTACTTTAACAGTTAATTATTTTTTCTTAAAAATGGAATATAAATAAAAAGGCAGTGTGTTTAAGCGATGGCTGCTTATTTTTACAAAGACGGTGCATTTATAAGGATCAAAGGAGGACTTAGGGAGAACACTGATAAATAATTACTTGAACCTCTGATTTAGCATATTAATTTTCGATATACTGTACTGCTTATTGTTGTGTACTTGGTAGTTAATGTGGATGGTAGTCTTACCATAGCTAAGCGCAAATATATGGGGTTGGATTCCATCGCGAATTCATATAAATTATTATATAAGCTTAAAATTCACCGAAGTCGAGCATCACTGGCTGTGGTCAGTGTGCGGGTGGATGACCACTTGGATCAGTTTGCGTAGGGACCAAGTGTGTGCGGTATTGGTCCTCGTTAAACTGTTCTACCGTAAAGTGCTCGACTTCGCGTGCAGGTCGTCGGGCTACCGAAGCGGGGGTGCCATCCCCTCTGCAGAGGATCAAAATTGTGATGGCTTGTCTTCGGATCATCATCTGGGATGTTTCCCAGACCGTCGCCAGTAGCCCATTGTGCAGCTCTAGTGCGACGTAAATAAACTACAACAACAATAAGCTTAAAATTAGTTCTGACTTTCCTCCTAATGAAGTTATCCAAGTTTCGTAGGGTTGGCAACACATTTAATCTCGTCCATCATTCGCGATAGCCAAGAAGATTCACCAATACAAATAGGGACACCGTGAACTTTCCCATTTTGCTGAATAAAATCCCTAACTTGATCGAGCCAAATGTAAGCAATCAATCTTATTCTTCCTTATTAAATAAATTTGATTTAAAATGTTCTTGATTACCTTAAGTACTTAATTAATTTAAACATATAAAAACCTATCTGATAATCATTGATATGGTTTTAGGGGCTGAAAAATTTAAGAAATTTTAGCTTATAGTTGTTTGCAACTTTCATTTCACTACCACTAGAAAAAAACATCCTGACAAAGTGTAAGTATTGGCAGCAAAGAAGTAAGTCTGATTTGTCTAATATAATAACACTGAAGAAGTATATAACTAATTTATAATAAAATGAAGTTTACTAACAGCAATTGAAATAGATATGCTATAACCATATTGAAATATTTTTTATGAGTAGAAATCAATTGAACCTTTAACACTCTCATTTATTTATAATTCAAGAAATGAAGAATGAGGTATTTAATTCAGCTAACACTGAATCTAAATTTATTGAAATCTTTTAAAATACTATTATTTGTCAAATTCGAAAAAGTAAAATAAAAAGCCATGTTTGTAAAATAAAGTATATAAAAGGATGTCATTCATTTGTTTCAATAAAAAAAATTTAAACTATTTGTTGCTAATTTCCACATAATGTTAATTTTTCTACCAGTATATTACTGATTTAACAATTTATACTTAATTATTCTAGTCAATAAATAAAACTATTAATGAACCATTTGATAAATGAAAATAAAAAAAGAAACAATTTAATTCACAGATAAGATGAATATATATATATATTTTTTTTTACTATCCCACACATCTAATAACAAATAATGTGGTGAACGGCAAATCTCAACGAATACTGAATATAAATAAAATATCTGGGTATCAAGTTCCCTCATTAAAAAAATTTTTTTTTTTAATGAGTGAATGGATTTTGAATGAATGTATTTTGAATGAAAGAATTTAACATTCCTTGTGTCTAAATGNTAACAAATCCTTCAATTCTGTAAGTGTTGTATCGCCAAATGCCCAAATTAACAATTGTGTTTTTAAAGAAATTCTATAAAAAGTTTTAAATAAAAAAACTTCTATCCCGCTACTTCTACAACTGCTTCTTGAAGAGCTTGGCTCATTGATTAAAAATATTGTTTATATTTTTACAGTACTAACTTTACTTCTGCTAACATTATTGCTATGACCCTCTTTCATTACATTTTACAACTTCATGCTAAATTTGAGGACTTTAAGTTGTTTTGTGGTTGAATACTGACATTTAGAAATGTGTACATAAAAAAATAATATTTAGAGGTTAAGAGTTGCTTCTGAAAAATTTGAATTGTTGACACTGAATTTAATAATGGAAACAATCGTTTTTGTGAAAAATTGAATTGTATTGCTGACATCAAAACTAAAAGTATTGTGTTTCAACTTAACAATACTACCTTAATTTTACTGACATTTTGAACAAAATTAAGATTTAGAATTGCCTCGGATAAATTTGAATTGTTAACAATGACTTAAACAAAAAGTTTTATTTTAACTGACAAATACTATATTATAATTTTAACTTTTTCTATGACTATACTCATTTTCTTACTCTTTTCTTTGTTTTTTATACATTTTAAATTTTTGTGATAAAATAAAAAACTAATAATTGTTCTGCTTCTGAACACTGATGAAAACACGAAATGATGGGCTTCATCAACAATCAAAAATATATACATTTGTTTTACAAATTCCACATTATTGGGGTGGCGCCCTTCAGAGAATTAAAAATACAAAAATATCTTCATGGAAGCCGATGCTTTACATCCGGCGTTCAGTGGCAGACTACTATTTCCTATTGTTTTACAACACATGGCTTTAGTTCTCTGGTGGGAAAGACTTTAAAACAAAACTTACAACAGTTACTTTTCTCAACAACTGAAATTTAGAATAGTGTGATTAAACAAAATATGTGAACTGTTTGCAATTTCAAATTAATATTGAAATGTACAGGTTTAGAATTTTCTACAGTGAAAAGTTTTCGGAACTTCAGTATTCAAAAAAGTATACAAAAGCTAACGAACGAAGAACGTATCCAATTAACGTATTAAGAATTTAGAACGTATCCAATGAGAACGTATCCAATGAGCGAAACGTATAACGTATCCAATGAGCGAGAACGTATCCAATGAGCGAGCAAAGCGAGCATTGGATTGCGAAGCAATCCGAAATGAACTGCGAAAGCAGTTCCGGGGGACGGCGAGCGGGAGCGAGCAGGGGGAGAAGCCTCCTAGTATATATATATATATATTTTACTATCCCACGCATCTAATAACAAATAATGTGGTGAACGGCAAATCTCAACGAATACTGAATATAAATAAAATATCTGGGTATCAAGTTCCCTCATTAAAAAAATTTTTTTTTTTAATGAGTGAATGGATTTTGAATGAATGTATTTTGAATGAAAGAATTTAACATTCCTTGTGTCTAAATGGAGTAAAAAATACGCATTTATTGTTAACCTTCCTGAATTGTATAAAAAAAAAAACACCAAAATTTTTAAAATTTATTTGTACCGAAACTAATTCAAAATTTTTAAAGCAGGGCAACAATTTTTCTCTATTTCCAGTTCAAAAAAAATACAAAACGGCTACTTTTTTTTAATATTTCTATTGGTCTTTCTAAAAATTGGAAAAACCATCAGTATATATTATTTAATTACTTCAAAACTAATTCGAAACTTTAACTAGGTGAGACGTGTTACCCATTTAAAGACTTAGAGTGAGCGTTTGAGAAAAAAAAACCCATAATTTTTTACTAACAGTTTCCACTCAGCTGAATTCCGCTGCGCAAAAAAAGAATTCGGCTTCGTCGTAAAGTAACCGCATTGCGGTTTATTTACGTTTTGATATCAGATTCACTGCTCTTGAGGACTCGCATTGTACCAAAATATCGCATTGTTTAAATATTATTGTCTAATTATTGTTTAATATAATAATGAATTATGACAGTAAAAAACATTCGCGGTGAAAATTTTCTGAAAATTTTCATGCATGAAAATTTTCTGAAATTTTTATTTTCACGCAAAAAACTTTTTTTCCAATAAAGATTGGCGATCGAAATGGGTTGCAGGTGGCGTAGAGCAGAACTCTTTTCCTATGCCAACACTTCACATGCTTTCCCCATTAGCGTGTGGAAAGTCATAGAGGAAGGAAGTACGTTAGTTTCTCTCTTGATTTTCATATAGATTAAAATCTTTTAACTTGAAAAACTATAAGGAACTGAAAACTACATTAAACATAGTTCTAAAGAAAAGTATCATGGAAATTTTAAAAAATATTTTTATGAAATAAAAAGGAAAAATATTAAGAAAAGTGAAAATATCGTAGTACATTCCTATACAACTGAAAAGAGGAGGAGAGGGAAGGGAGAAGGGCTAAAGGCATGAAACCGGTCTCTCGCCAGATGGCGTATTCGAGTGTTGCGATCGCGAATAATCAAATAATACTTCCACAAATTAAAAGGTGTGTGTGTTATTTCAGCAGTCTTTCAATCGTGGATATTTTTATGTATTTAGTAATTAAAATAAGTTTCTTTAATATGTAATTACAATTAGTATTTAATTTTTTTCATTCTTGTAACATTCGCCTATGTTACTAACCAAACTGTATTCCTTTTCTTTCAACTTCAGATGAAAATGGCTCTTTTATTCAAAAATAGGGACTCTATGACAAACGATTGAAAAATGGGCTTTTCTTTGACGAAGAATTGATTAAATGAGATATATTGAGGAGTATATAAGAATTGTGGAATGTGTATACCTGAAATGATACTTTTGCATATTTTTATAATTGCTATTTAAAAAAGTAAAATAAAGGGGTCATAATAACTCATTCTATTTGTTTTTTCTTAAATAAAAGAAAGAGAAATATGTTGAATGGACAGGCGAAATTTGCCGAATACTGAAAATTATCACAGTGACCTCCCATCCTATCCTGGCGTCCATGAATACAAAACATCCTGTGCTCACCAGATTGACTGACTGAGATTTCAAGAAGTATGGTATTTGAATTGTGAGTCGATCGTTCTATTGATGAAATAAGTCATGACTATTAATATCTGGATGAATTATTGATATCTGGTCTTTAAGTTTCAATTTAAATTCACGATTGGTTCATATTTTCCATTATTAATTCTGCGTTGCCTATGGTCCATTAGTGAAAGACCTTTCACACGCATGTGACTCATGAAAGAATAAATTTCATGAAACATAATCACATTCTCCCGCGACGTCGAATGAAGGTGCAAGAAACGTATTCAGTAACTCTAGATTTTGCAGCGCTATCTATATTCAATTTATAATGGAGCAATTGAGGCCTTGTCTGTAACAGAAATTGGTAGTAAGAAACGCTTTGATCAAAACAAAAGCAAACAAGAAGCAAGCAAAAAATGATAGCTAAATTTTGTTTTGCTTCTTTTTTAACTTTTGCTTGTTATTTTTTTAAAATGTCGAAAGTATAATAAAATTGATACTTGCAATTATCAAGATTTTGAATGATCTGTGTTCCGTTCCTTTCACTGGCCCAGTTCTATAAGAGAAATATTAAATTTGAATGTATTGAAAATGCGTGCAGTATCTTTTGTATCTCGTTTAGAATTTATATTTAAGGGAAATGTCTCCAAAAATGCGGTTTGTCTGGGAGACGTTGACAATGATACTGTAAGTCTACTAGTATTTATAATGAAATACTTAATTTTTTTTTTTAAATTAAAAACTATTTCTCTTCTTATTTTATTTATTTATAAATTTTTTTTAAGTATGAAATTTGAAAAGGTAGAACGCTACTTTCTGTGTTTGCTACTGCCCTGCAGTTGTTTAATAAGAATGCCAAGAAACATTAAGACATAGTAAAATATAATATTTTTTTTTTGTATTAGTTTTGTTTATAGTGCCTCCATATGCTTTCTTGTACATTTCAAATTTTAGAATCATATTCTAGTTCATGGCTATTTACAAATCTTTTTCTCCTAATGTTACTTATTTTATTTGTAGAAAAGTTACATGCCTTTTTGCTCCAACAACCACTGTCAAGGTGCCAAAGGTTTTTTGTACCTGTTATAATTAATATATATATATATATATATCAGATACAAAATAATCTTCTGGCTAATCTCTGTCTGGTTGTTCTTGAAATTTAATGACGTTCTAGGGGCAGTTGCTGATATGGAATTCTACTGAAACCTAGAATTGTTGCAAAAGCCTGGAAATTTTTCATGTTTGCAGAAGTTTTGATAATTTATAACTTTTTGTTTGAAAAAATTCTGAGGAATCAAAATTTATTTTGTTTAGTATGAATTTCTAAATGTTTAGTTTCCAGCAGAAGTGAGCACAAATTAAACAAGTCCAAGTTAATTTTTGTTTTGAAAAAGATATCAAATTATAAACTCCAATTTTTAAAAAAGACTTATTATAATAAAAGAAAATTTTTGATGTTGTGTTTAGCAAAGCAAGAGTCGGGCAGTGTAAATGCTGAACTTTTTTTCCTTCAATAGTTTCTGGAGCTCAAAACATCATGCATCTTTTTTCCTATTAACGTTTTTATTTGTGGGTAACTATTTTCTTTTTTTAGGCAATGTAGATTTTGTTGTAATTTATAAATGTATCTTAAATTAAAAAGCTTTAATCCACAAGTCTAGTTTTTCTTTCAGAACAATAGTTTGACAATAATAATAAAAAATTATAATAAAAAAATGGGGAGATTTCCATGTTGTGATCTGTGGCTGAATAATTGCCAAGTCTTTGCAACTTCTGGGCAGCGGCTCACATAAAACTATATAATAAGAAATAAAAAAACATCACAGAAAGGGAACATGTTTTCTTTTTAAAATTTTTCTGTTTAAAATCAATTTGGTGCCTTGGCGATTGTTGTTGCTGTGTCTGGTGACGATAAGGAAATATCCCCTAAAAAAGTATGAGTAAAATAAATAAATAGAATGAAGGCCACGAAAATTTGGCCTTTTACTGTATTAACATGTACATATATATGCATTCTTAATTCATTGTTTAAAAAACTATTACACTATTTTTTATTTGGTCAAATTCTAGAATTGCTTTTTTTTTCTGTATAGAATAGTGAATTGGCAGTAGGTAACTTACAAGGAGATCTTGCTGTTTTCAAAAAAGAGCACAAGTTTCCATGGGCTGAAGCTCATGATTTGGGGATGGTAAGCTTTATTTTAAGTTTTAAAATTTTATATTGATTTTATTATTTTATTAAATTCTACAGTGTTTTGTATATTTATGTATTTTGAATTTAAAAGATATAATTTGGTTTTTAAAAATTAAAGAAGAAAATATTAATCTTAATATATTTGCTTTGATACTTATTATTGACACAATGATCAGGGCACTGAGCTGTCATAGCTGGCAGTGACTTAAAACTCTCCCATCTATCAGACTAATACCTACATGCTTGCCTGGGAAGGAATGGTGGCTGGTGTACAATACTGGCTCATGGATACAAACCTCAATGTTTTATTTTAAAATCGTGTGAATCTGAATCTCGATGTTTGATTTTAAAATTGCAAGAGGCATAAAAGTGGATTCTTCTCCTCGAGAATTTAAAAAAGATAAACTTTAATAGAAGAGGAGGATTTTTGTTCTTTTTTAATAATAATAAAAGAAAAATTGCAATGGTGATAAATTTTCTGAAAACTGCGTTCATGCATTCGTGTGTATTATACAGGTCTGTTTGGCTTAATTGCCACCATTATGCCTTTGATTTCAAAATTGTCAAGTTTTACCTTCCGTTGCTAACAGCAAGATGCAGAGGTGCTTTGGTTTTAAAACTTATTACTGATATAATGATATTGAAACACTACGAGGAAAAAAAACATGTTGACTGTTGTTAATCTCTCTCTCTCTCTTTAAAAAAAGAACTTAAGATTAAAATGAATATTAATTCATTTAGTTTGGTCTTCATGCATATGCATGACTGATATTATCTTTATTTTATTGATAAACCATAGTACCAAATATGTTTATGCAAATTGGCAAATATTTTTGGTAAATTCGAATCTATACCCAAACATCAAAGAATAGTAATTTTATTTCTTTAATTGATAAAACATTAAATTGAAAAAAATTGTTCTCCTCTTTTTAGAATAGTGTCTGAATTCAATGTCAAAGTTTATTTTGATGTAAGTAACCGAAATTTAAAGCAATTTGTGGAAAAAGCCTTTGTAGTCTTTGGTATATTGTAAGCTTCACATATCAAATCTATAATTTATATTTTCATGCTGTTTCTTTTAATAACTAATGAATTTTCGAAAAGGTTAAAATTCCAGAGGTCTTTTGTGAATTTTCGATGTTCTGGTTTGCAGTGTGTAGAAACACAACGTATTAAAACTTTTCTTTAAATTAAAATCGATATTTTTTGAAGACTTGCTTGAACGAAATAATACATTTTACAGTTACAACCTTTTCTTCAACAATGAAGTTTTTATGTGTTCATTATTTTCACAATATGTTTATATTATGTTATATTCATTCTTATTAATTAAATTATGTAAATAAAAAGATAGATTTTGTATGAAACTATCCATGCATATTTTTTTTTAATTTCTTTAATAGGTTATGGTCGTTATTATAGGTGATATTTTGAATATAGGGAAGGTAAGTACCTTTTTTTTTGTTTTTCACTATGTAAGCTTTAAATACTTTTTTATTTTTAAAATTGTTTTTCTATTTCTATTAAATATTATATTATTAATAATTATTTAATAGAAATATTTAATAATATTTGATGTCAAAATTTTGAAAGCATTCAAATTAAAAATGTTTAATATTGGTTATATATATATTGTAAGTAGCTGTTAATAATAGTTTCTTTTGTTACTCAATTTATGCTGACATGATTTTTTTAAAAATTTTAGAATTTTACTATCTGTATTAGCGGTGAAGGACTTTGTACATTGTTTGAAATTAAAAATGAGTATAATGTAAGTGCATTTTTAATGTTATTTTACCACCCTACAATGATTATTTTTTATATAATAATTTTTTTATTGTTGCATCATATTTTATACCATATATTTTATTTTTTTTACAGATTTTATATATTTTTTTTTATTTTCAAAACTTTTTGTAATTAAAAGTTTTGTATTAATGGATTAGAAATATTAGCGAACTTTGCTAATTTAGTGTTTTATAATATAGCAGTTTTATATATTATTAGCAAAAGTTTTGTTGAAAATTTCTTTGTAATTTTATTTTCCAATAATTATTTATTAAGTCTAAATTTTTTGTCAACAATTTTGCAACTATGATAATAAAAAATTACTGCCGTATTCTTAAATATGTTTTTGTTCAAATTAAAAAAAAATATTTTATAACTTTCTTCCTTAAATGCAGTAAAAAAAGAATAAAACTTTAATTTAGAATCCGGCAAAGATTTCAATATAAAAAACTGAGATTTTATCTATAGATGAAAACTATGAATTGTATAATATTATTTATTTCTCCTATGTTTATTTAATGAAAGAACTGTCATCTCAGAGAATAATATAAATTTTCTCTACAAAAAACCACAATTTTCCAGAATAGTTTATCTTAGTGATGAGATTTTCAATTTTTTTAGGAGCTAGAAAGGAGAAGTTTGTTACCCTTTTATTCCCAAAAGCTGCCTGCTAATACTAAAGTTGCACTTTTGACTGATGTTGGTAATAACCATATTTATTCTTATTTTCTTTTAAAGTTTACGTAATTTTTGTTAATGAATTTTTCATGTATTTTCTTTCCAAATTCTAGAAACTAATAATGAAATCAAAATAATAACAATGAAACATAATAATTTTAAAAATATTTTTTTTATATATTTCTAGACAATGATGGTGAACTTGAACTTATATTGGGACTTACTGATCATGTATTAAGAACATACAGGTGGGTCAAACTGGGTCAGGTAAGATATTTGTCGAGTGCTGTTCTGAATTATATTGAATCTAATTAATTTTTATATATATTTCATATATTTCATACCTATATTTATTTCATTTTTCCTATATTTTTATAGGGGCCGAATGACTTATCAGGAAAATTAGTTGGACTGCATAAATTAGAATTAGCTGATCAAGTAATTTGATTTTTTTTTATCATTATTTTAATAAGGCAAATATATTGGCTACTTTTTTTTGTAGTAAATCTTCAATGCCCTACTCTGTAAAGGAAAACAGGGATAATGCTTTCAAGATCATTGATTCCAATGAAATTTCTTTCAAAAATTACCCTTGTTTTAATGATAATAACTGTTTAATTAATCTTATTAGCTCACAGTGTCATACATGACTGTGCCTCTACTTTCCATGTCACATGATTTTCTATATTACCTAAATATATACAACTTGTAGTCCAGAAACTGAGCACTAAATTATAGATTATATTTCTTGTTTTATTTTTAAATTTCACTCAGCATTTTAAGAACACTTTTTTAAATTAAAAAAAAATTTTTTTTTGCTTCCAATGTTGAAGGTTACAAGAGACCACTCACCACAAAGGGAGGAACAATAAAAATAAACGAACACAAACAAAAATAAACGTGGTAAGAAAAGTCTATGAACCCAATAAATCTCTTGCGCGCCAGTAACGGACACACAAAGAGGTGTCCCCCAGTGGCGGGCAGAAGACGAAGGTGGTCTGCATCCATCTCCGCTTGAAGGTCACAGAGCGTACAGAAAGGGGCTTGAGCAACATGAATTCGATGGAGATGTTTGAGGAGGCAGTCTTGTCTGGTAGTCAGTCGAAACTCAGCAACTGCCCTACGTCTCGGCCACATAGGAAGATCTTTGAAATTATTCCACCAGATCTTACCAGAATTTTTCTCTGTGTATTGGTTTAAAGTGAGATTCATCATCTTTTTCTTGATTAGGTGCTTGACAAGATGGTCGGCTAACTCATTACTAGCTACACTGCAGTTTCCCGGGTACCACTGCAAAACAACTTCCTTAGAAAGCTCGAACAGACATTTTAAGAACATTGTGAGGATAACAATAATACTGGTTATTTGTTTACTAATTTAATGTGAAATAAGTTTAAAGTTTCCCATAAATTATTATACAATCATAAAATAATTATTATACAATTTTAATAGAATGTTATTAGTAAAAAAGTTAGAGTATTATTTTGAAATTTCCAACAGAATTTGCATTATTTTTTTTCAGACAGTTTAAATTTTATAAAAAAAGAACCAGTGTTATTTTTTCGTTAAAATAACATGGGTATTAACGTGTTAAAAGATTTCTTTAATTTTAACATTTTTATTAAGGTCTAATTTAAATCTTAATCAGCATAAGTTTTTATGATACAAATTAAAATCAGCAGGAAAAAATTAAAAATTAATAACAGTCTTTTAAAGTAAACTTCAAATGAAGAAAATATAATATAAAGTTATTTCATTTGTTGAGTACAATTGTTTTTATTTTAACCAACATGTGTGATGCCAATCTTCATGGTACCTTTTTCATTTCTTAGCAAAAACTGTCATAATAAAATCCCAAAACTTCCCTCCTGCAAATGAGACATCGTTTGTGAATGGCCACATATAAGTTGATTTGAATTTATTGTTATCATTTTTTTGCTGTTATAAATATCACTGCTTGTTTATCTTTACTAACAACAAGCTTACATTGAGGTTGGGGTAGCCTGGTTGGTAGGGCACTGAGCCCATATTCAAGAGTTCGTGGGTTCGATCCTCGCCGGCCGAAGGCTCCCAGTGTAGTAAATGGTGACTGATGCACGTTAAATCTGTCGTGTCGCAAAGTCCTTCATGCTTCCATAACAAAATCACTACCTCTGGGGGTACTGATCCAGGAGTTTCCTTGTCTTCTGAATTCGTTCAAAATTACTAGGCTACCGAATTGAACATCAGTAGTAATAAACCCAAAAAAATTGGGTTGACGGATATAAAATATTAAAAAAAATACAGAAGCAATCTTACATTTTAACATACACATGGGTGCCATTATTCAGTCCTGGGGACAGAAATCAGTCTTGAGAAAAAAGCAGTGAGACTAAATTTCATCAATTAATCTCTTTTCCATTTGCTTTTAATTTAAAATGTTCTTTTTTTCCTTAAAAATGTTGATTTTATACCAACAATTTCTATTTATTTTTTTAGTTAATTTTATGCAAATATTATATTTTAACGAAAACATTGTTATTTTTCATAATTATTGTGAAGTGATCTAGTGATGATGTCGCCGCACCACAATGAAATAATGAGATTGACTGAACTTCAGTGCCTACTTTGTTAAACAAAATTTATACTACTGTTGTATCTAAATCTGTTTGAGTTTTCATTTTTCTCTAACATTTTGAAATGCTGAACAAAGTTAAGATTATTTTTTTTATTGAATTAAATTTATAGAGACAAGAAGTAAATAATTATTTATTAGTAAATATATATTTATATTTATTTAAGCAAAATAAAAAAAAGTAGACATATGGATAGCTTCATGAAAAAATTAGTGGTTTATTATCCAGTGATTGGTACAAAAAGATCTAAAAGGTTAACTACTATTTTTATTTTGTTTACCGTGAAAAAATTAAATGAACGAAGTGAAAAAAAATCAAATCATTGATTTGATGTATGTGCTATTATTATCGAAAGATACATTTTTCAGTCGGTAAGCTATAAATTTCTGAAAATTGTGGTAAATAACGGTGGATCATGTTAATTGGCCAAAAAATAAGTCCAGTCTTGAATTCTTTTTAGAGTGGCACCCATACATACATTATAACAATAGCAAATAGCTACAACAATAAACTTTGACTTACCAGTTTCAGTTTATTTATAAGAAACATAGAAATTTAACAGTATGATTTTTTTAATGTTATTAGATTGGCTCTATATCATTAAATCCCTCAAATAATGGAAGTCCATTCATATTGGTTGCACAGTCAGGTGGTACTTACATGCATTTCCAGTGTTTGCTTGAAAATGATGAAATTGATGAGAATGGGTATGCTTTTTTTTAATTTTTATTTTTACAGATGCACATATATTTTTTTAAACCTAATTACATTTTGTGTAATTTCAATTTTGAAATGAAAAATAGGCGTATATTAAGAGCCCTTTTCTTTCACTATTTTGGTTTTTAGATTATGTTTTTGATTTTTGTTTTTCTTGATGTTTTTTAGTCTTAACAAATTTGATAAATTGTTTTGGTTATCAATTTTAAAATGGGAAAATAGTCACATAAACCTGATTAAGAGGTTTAACCTAATTAAGAGGTATTTACCATTTCGCATTTTAAGTTACATTTTTTGATTTTTAGTTTTGTTGATATTTTTTAGTCTTAACGAAACACTTTTGAGGGTAGAGCATGTTGCCTTTAAAAAATACTTGGAAAATAAATACTTTGTTTTATGAGGATGGGGAAAATAGGGCTATGTAACATTTAGATCTTCTTTTTTGTTTCCTCAAAGTATCAAAGCAATACATTTATGAGTTTAGTAACTTTGGATTAGTAATTTTATGTTGTACATTTGTTAATGTTTTGATTTGTAAAAAAATTACTTTATATTTGTTTTAACTAATGAAAATCAATTTTAATAAAGCTGAAAAGTTCTTGTAATATAAATGAACCTGAAACATAGATATTTTTCAAAAATACAAAAACAGACAAAGGTAAAATATTAAACAACATTTCTAAAGTGTATTATTTTTATGAATGTATTAGTAAATGTATTTATAATTTTTTCAGAAAAAAAAAATCCTTTGAAATTCTATGTTATTTTTTCTCCAATTCTGATTGAATGAGGACCTTGTGTTTAACATCGTTTTAAGATAGGTAGAAGAAGAAACAACTATCAATTTATTGGTGAATGTTACAAGCCAATGAATAAAAAGATGTTCATTACTCCCCTTCCCTCTACACTGTACCCTTTTGAAGGTTGAGTTCAGTTGAAAGATAAGAGGCCTCATAAAATCAAAATCAAAACTGATTACAAAAGCTCAAAATGTGTAATGTAACACATTTATGTAAACGCATTCTAAAGTTCGCATTTAAAATTACTTTGCATTATCAAGTATTTAAGCGGTAAAGTTTTTTTAACTGCCTATTTTACTTTAACTGCCTATGTACTGCTTACTACTATTATAATTTGTACTCTTACTTCTATTACAATTATTACTCTTACTATTTCATTTTTTGATTAAATACTTGATTAAATTTGATTAAAAACCTAATTTCCTCGTTTCTGTGAAATTTAACATACCTACGGTGCAAAAAAATTTATTTCTCAGGTTTTGCATCCAAGAAAATATTTATTCAAATACATAATAATCGTGTATGTTACGCTTTTTTATTTAGTTTTTTTTTCTTTTTCTAAGTGTTTTGTAAATATAATTAAGCATGTGTGTATCAGAAATTTTCTCGAAGAAGTTCTCTTATTTAACTTTTTGAAACCACTCATTTTGGACAAAATTATTTTCATTTGTAAATTTTAAAATGCATAAAAGAGGGAATGAATATCATGTTTTATTTAAATACCTTGAATTGAGTATTGCATTAGCGGAAAAGAAAAAAAAATTAATTTCAGATTATCAAGAATTTTTTGTTGTTAATTTATCACAGAATTAAATTTAAAGGAAAAAACAATCTTGTTTCTGGTTAAGTTTGAAAAAGTTTCTGATTAAAAGAAGATTCAAAATTATATGTAATAAGCATTATTTGTAATGCTTGTTATTTTGCTTTTTAATATTAAAAAAGCTTTGATAAAAATCTGACAGTAATATTTAATATTCCTTCAAACATGAAAGAGTCCTACATAAAATTTTTATAAAGTTGTGGCCTGCCATGTGACTAGTGTTTTTAATTGTAGCCCCTGGCCTCATGTAAGTTGGAAACCCCTGCTATATATATATATTCAGGATCAGTGCTAATGTAATATCACTGCTATACTACGTATCTATTTAGAATCTGCATATAAAAAAACTTTTAAAATTTTAGGAATAAAATGAGCTGGCAGTTTTTTGAAATGATTTTTTATGGATATATACAGAGTTCTCCGTAGGAATAGAAGAGAGCATGGCTCTGCCTCTCAGAAAAGGGCACTCATTCTACATTGTAAAAATTTATTAAAATATGTAATCCTATGTAATAAATGGATTCGATTCTCAACGATTTTTAAATTACAGTCTTATACTATTTTATGTGTATATTTCAAAAAATAATTCTCTCTCATAAACAGAAAAAGAGAAAAATTTGTTTATAAAAATAATTAAAGGCATGCTAATCGGCAATCTCTGGGCATACATTTTTTTCAAAAAAAGTAAACAGAAAAAAATATTAATTGATAAGCAACTTGAAAGAAATTGAATTTAAACTGAAAATTATGAGAAAATAGACAATTAAAGCTCCATGTTTTTTAAAAAAAAGTTATTTATTTGAAAAAGAATTTTAAAAATTAGAACCATTAAAAATTTATTAATATGAGAAGAAAGGGATACTTATAAAAATTTAACGAGTTGAGAATAATCCTAACAATGTAAATATTTGTAATAGTAATTTGAATTAAACCTATGTATATAATTTTACTAATGGATAATTGTTATTTAAATAGTCAATGAATTTTTTAAAAAATGAAATGAAAAAGAAACGTTTTTAAGGGATGACGACTTATTTTTACAGAAAGGGTAAAGAGGGTGAATATATGGGGATCAAAGGGTAGACTGCCGTTCTAAAACTGCTTAGGCGTTGTTATTCTTTTTAATTTATGTTTGATTACATTATTTCAAAATAAATTTTTATTTTCTAATTTTTAGTCCTGATTCCTTAAAACTAACGACTCCTGTGCATCATGCTCTTGCTTCTAGTCGAATGCGAAATCCAAATATTTCATCTGAAATTTTAGGCGGTATATGTGGAGTCCGAAATGGAAAGCCTACAGATTCTTTAATTGCTGTAGCAACTTTAGATGGTAAAGTTCAATAGCTGTCACTTTGTTTTTTTCATTGAGAAACTATGGTATATAAGATATATTTACTGTCTTTTTTTTCTGTTTGATTTGTCTTTTGTAGGGACATTAATGCTAGTTGATGGTGATGAAATTCTGTGGTCTTTTCAAGTTGATCATCAGCTTTTTGCCATTACAAAACTAGACCTTATTGTAAGTAAATATCAAAATATTAAATCTTAGCTTGTAGGAGTTTTGTAAGTCAGGATTGGGCATTCTTCCAGGAAAAACCATTTTTTGTAAAACAACTAAAGAAACTGAATGAAATATGAGAAGCCGGAACTAGCTATAGAGAGTACAATTAAAATATATAAAATTTTCTAAGCTGTGTTTTAAATCAGATTATATAACAAAATATAACTAAATGTGTCAAACTATATTAATTAAATTTAATTTAAAGTTTAAAATTTAAATAAGAAAATGAATAACTATATTATTGAAACCTAAGTATTTTGTATTGATGGATTTCCTCTGTCCGTGATACTTGTATAATATCATCCTGCTATGAGCCAATGAAATTTTTTTTCCAGTTTTGTGCTCATTTCAACACATTCGGTTTTATGCATGTAACGTCGAAGGAAAGCTGATTAATAGCTTCAACCAGAATGTAGCTATCATTGTAAATGGCTAAGGTTCTATCCCTGGTGGTAGCTTGAAGGCCACCTCAACTTCATATTAATAGACACCAATTTGTCTGGGTTGTAATGGCAGCTAGTGCGCAATTCTAACCACATTGCTACCATCATGCAATGAAATTGAATCATGAGTTGAATTGGTCATGAAATTGTCGAGCCTTTTTCTTCATGAACTCCCATGTCCACAGCTTTGCAATTACCAAATTGCATTCTTTTCTTTTTAAGATTTGGCTAATCTTGTTTTTTAAAAACATACTTAGAATTATTTTTTCAGTTTTTAGAGATGTATTAATTTTATAAATTAATTGTAATTATAGGGTAATGGAGAAGAAGGTGTAATAGCATGTGCTTGGGATGGTCAAACTTATATGGTAAACCAAGAGAAGCAATCTGTAAGGTTTCAATTTGATGAACCAGTTTCTGCATTCACTTCAGGTTTTTATTTAATTTATTATTTTTTTTATTTAATTTCAAACGAGGCAATGCATAAAAAAAAATTTACGGCCTTTAAAATTGTTGAAGTTTTTTTTATGTACATTTAAAAAAAATACAAAAAATATGTATGAAAACTTAATTGTAATTCATCACACTAGCTACTAAGTTTCAATCTCACCATATTTTTTCAAAATACCCTGATTTCAGATAATGGCCTCTTACTCATTACTTATTAAGTGTACCTAATATTTAACTATTAATTGCACCTAATATTTAGGCCATGGTACCCCAGTGGTTAGAATCAGAATCTGATTCGGAGGGGTCAGGTTTTGATCCTGGACTCCGCTAAGACTCACCGAGAGCATGCAATACGTGGGCTCGAATAATCTGTGAATTCGAAAGTCCTGTGGTTGGTCTCTGAATAATACCATGGGTACAGGGATCGGGATGAAATTTCCTTCCCCTTCAGATATATGTCTAAATTGAGGAAGTGGACTCATAAATGAGTGGCTGCCATCTATATGTGGGGTTCTCAGCTAAGACTTATTTTCAGCCTTGTGGTGCTCTTTTGTCAAGCAAAAGGCGCACCTTCCTGACTAAGGCCAATGGTTGGGGAGAATGGCTTGTTCAAGGGTCATTAGAAACAACAACTCCTAATATTTCTGATAAGCATTTGAGAGCAGGGGTCTGTCCAGGCAGAATTTANATGGCCTCTTACTCATTACTTATTAAGTGTACCTAATATTTACCTATTAATTGCACCTAATATTTAGGCCATGGTACCCCAGTGGTTAGAATCAGAATCTGATTCGGAGGGGTCAGGTTTTGATCCTGGACTCCGCTAAGACTCACCGAGAACATGCAATACGTGGGCTCGAATAATCTGTGAATTCGAAAGTCCTGTGGTTGGTCTCTGAATAATACCATGGGTACAGGGATCGGGATGAAATTTCCTTCCCCTTCAGATATATGTCTAAATTGAGGAAGTGGACTCATAAATGAGTGGCTGCCATCTATATGTGGGGTTCTCAGCTAAGACTTATTTTCAGCCTTGTGGTGCTCTTTTGTCAAGCAAAAGGCTAAGGCCAATGGTTGGGGAGAATGGCTTGTTCAAGGGTCATTAGAAACAACAACTCCTAATATTTCTGATAACAAGCATTTGAGAACAGGGGTCTGTCCAGGCACTACCGTTAAGTGGTGCCTTCACAAATTCAACTTTAGGAAATGCAGTAGTTTTGCAAAATATAGATTTTTAAAATGTTATTTTTCTATCCTGTAAGAAGCGATAAATCCATATTTTTGTGTTGATTTTTCAAATAAGTACCTCTCACAGATATAATTTTCACAAATTATGTCTAAATTTTCACAAAATAAGTACCTCTCAGTAAAACCTAGACAGACCCCTGGAGAAAAACTTAGAAAGTTTAAATCTGCTGTTATTTGTTTGATAAAATCATAATGCTCTTAAATTGACTATTCTATTAGCATATGAATGTATTTTTTATTTTCAAATATCTTAAACTATCTGTTATTTTTAGGGAAATATTCTGTTTCTAGTGGTTCTTCTGTACCAGCTATTGTATATGCAACATTTAGTGACAGAGTTTTCTTATATAGTGATATCCAACTTCCTTCATTTAGTATATGTAATTTTCTTGAAACTATGGAAAAACAACCTGATTCTTCAGATTTACTCACCCAGTTTCCAATCAACAGTAAGTTTAACAATGTTTTTAGATTGCTATGGATGCTTATATAATTTTCTAGTGTTGCCTCTGAATGTATCTAATCATCTGATTTCTAATGGTGTTCAGCTGATTTTTTTTATTTTACAAGGAAACTTACCAAATTTTATGATTTTCAGTATATGTAGTAATATTTTATGTTTTCATTGATTAGTGTCTATATGTATGCATGTATGTTACAAATTTTTTTGCAATGATTGTTTGCTTTACTTGGAGAAGTTTATTGCTGCTTGGATGAGTTATATTTTTAAATCAAAGTATTTTTTGTGTTTTTTTCTTATTAAGCATTATTATTCCATAAGTATAAAATCCATAATGTACTAAGTATTATTCATATAAAATGAAAAATCATTAAACTGTGAAAAATGATTGCTACAAATTGAAAAAAGTAATTAAATTAAATTATTTCTCAAATAGTAATTTTGTTTATTGCACAAAATATTTTATTTAAAGCATCAGCTATATAGACTATTACTGTGGATTTTTTTTCAATGATACTACAAATTTTAATCCTGAAAACTAATTTATTTGCGACACTTATTATTTTCTATAAAAATGCTGCAATTGCAATTATCGAAAGAATTGTATTTAAATTTCTGGGATTGAGTCAGGTACAACAGTCATTACAAAGACATCAAAAAAGGAATTCTAGGATTACAAAATTGTATTCTGAAAATTATTGGAATTGGTTTTTAACTGTTTTTGAGAAAAGTAAATAATTTCAATTTGTGTCAATCTGAGAAACTTGACTCGTATTAGGGCCATAATCAATCGCTCCGTGTCTTTATTCAAAACTTCTTTGAAGTTACAGTTCCAGTTCAAGGTATGAATTTATCTTCTAGGTGATTGATATCAGTAAAATCGTTTCACTGTGATTCGAACTAACAAAAGCAAAACGAAATTTTTTACTACATTTCAAAATTATTTTCGTGCATTAAAAAGTTAGTGTTATTTGTTAAGTTGCAAGATCCTATATTTCTTTTTCAATGAACCTGTAATTTAATAAGCTTTTCGATTTTGAAATGGGTATGATAACCAACAAGAAAAAAAAGCTTTAAAGAAATCATATTGCAACAATTGCTACAAAAAAAGTGTGAATGTTATATTGTAATATTTATCTTTATCAGTTGTATTACCTAAAGACTCAACCAGCTCAATCCTTAACTTGTTTAAAAAATGTATCACATCTATAGTCACACTTATTTTAAATAATTTTTTAAAATTTTTTATTTAAGGGGGAGTTTGAATTCCGTATAACTTTACCCAGTTCAATCTTAAACTTGTTTTAAAAATGCATTGCATCAATAGTCACGCTTATTTTGAATAATTTTTTTATTTAAGGGACAGTTTAAATTTTGCACAATTTTACAATCTTGTGTCCATTCAAAACAGTAGTCACACTGTCGCGGAATGCGACGAGATGGCGCTCTCCTATTAATTTAATTACATATTTTTCTTTGTGTGTCATTATAATTTTGATTTAATTAAATGAATGTTGAAGGGGAAATGTCAGCCCTTATAATACTATCTTCGTATCTTCATATCATAATCTATTAAAGTTTGTTTTGTTTTAAAATAATGTGTTTTGTTAATTAATTTGAACCACCGATCTGTGCTTAATTAATCCGTTTTCACACACTATATTTTTATGTTTATTTTACGATTTTGTTTAAAATAATTTTCTTAAAATATGTATTTGTGTTCTAGGAGAAGACAAAAGGCATCTTCGTTCATTGTTTTCATATTGCCTCTATGATTTTCCTAATTCAAACAATGAAGAAGAATTAAAAGATATTGAAAGCTGATATTAAGTTTAATTAAATACTTACAGATTATATGATATTTTACCTATAATTTATTTTTATAACCTATTTTGTTCATCATAGTTGTACTATTCTGTGAAATTAAAAAATATTTTTTAATCAAAACTGTTTTTCTTTTGTTTTTAAACACAAACAATTTTAAATTTATATCCTGTAAATATTTTCCTAACTTCAGTACGGAAAAGAAGCATTTGGTAATTATTTATTATTTATGGTATATTTTAAAATGTTGCCACTTTCTGATTGTTTCTTTTTTCTTGATTGGCAGGCATGAACATATTGTTTTCTTAAAAATATTTCTCAGTATGCCTAGCATGTGTAGGTTGTAGTTGCTTCATGTGTATAATGGCTATTTCACTACTTAAGTATCAAGATTCTGCTGTTATTTTCCTTTATCTTTGCAAAGAAAAGAGAAAATGATTCTGCTAATTTCAGATTTGAAATTTTCACGCCAGAATCAGGTACTTTATTTTTATATTTTATAACCGTCGTTAAATAGCCGATTTTGGGTTTAATGACTACTAATGTTCAACTCCATAGCCTTGTACTTTTGAACTAATCCAGAAGACCAGGAAACTCCTAGATCAGTACCCCCAGATGTATGATTTGTTATGGGAACGTGGAGGACTTTATGACTTGACATATTTTGACGTGCATCAGTCACCATTTCTACACGGGGAGGCTTCGGCCAGCGGGGATCGAACCCACGACCTCTTGGACATGGGCCCAGTGCCCTACCAACCAGGCCATCCCGGCCCTTAAATCAAGTACTTGTAAAAATGCAACAAAAAAGAACTATTCCACATGATCTAGTTGCAGGTTAGATCAAGTGCGGGGGCCTAAAAATCTACAAAAACTGTAATACAAGATGAAGACTAAAGTCTGTGTCAGTTGGCACACATCTGAAAGACCTTCTCTTGTACGAAGGTGAGGTCTTTGAGGGGATCACTTGCAAGCTTAGTAATGGTGGACTGAACGAATTTATCAGCCGTGATGGTAAGGGCACCACCCTGGGCCTGCCTATAATACCCAAAGATGCTTTGGAGAGATTATCCGAAACTCGGTTCGAGAGTTGATGAACCTTCAACTAAACTATGAGGTTCAACTGAAGTTCCAAAAGAACATAAATTTCATTGTTGTAGAGGCCAATGTGGGACCATTAAAAAAGAATTTTATGGTGTTCAGGAAGCTGTTTAAGAGGAATTGAAAACAGATGTTTTGTCACAAACTTTAGTTCAATTACTAAGGTGTTGGGTTGTTCTACGACTACCTGATAAAATCCTGATCTCCGTGAATGGAATTACAGATTTAATAGAGCTGAGTGCCACATTTGTGGCGATTAGCTCAGATCTAAAAACGAAGCAGAAATTCGGGTTTTTAATCATAAATTCTATTTGAGAAGTCTGTGGCCTTAATGAAGACTCCACATGAGAGTTACGTTAAACGGTGTATCCATCAGTATTAATTTGAATAGCAGTATCTGGTATTTGGTTAATAACTTCAAAAGCCAGCTGGCATAGGATATCAGGCAAATGTATAATTTTTTTTGTCGCATAGAGTGAATTCCAAGTTCAGGGTAAAAATGAATTCCATGACATTAATTCGATATTTTAATATCTGCTGAGGATACATTAGGGGAAACATTCTAGTATATATTTCGGACATCTACCAAAGCGACTATGTGATTGTTGACATTCACTGGTACAAGTCAACAACCGCCGATTTTCGTCATTCACAATAACCTATTCGTTACGTTACTACATCAAATACTGGAAACTAACAACCTAGAAAACCTAAAGAGTGTTCACAAACTTTTCAGAAAATTGCTTAAAATTTTCTGAAGTTAACTTTTAATTTAATTTTATAAAATCAGTTTTGACGCATACACGCCACGATATAGACGAAACAAAATTATTTTGAACAAGTATGAATACTTCAAAGAACATATTTTTTCAAATTTTAGCTACCATATTAAAACTGTTTCCACGCCGTGCTTGAAGCTTGACATATACTGTTGAATTTGGATACGTAAACAACGAATTATAGATTTTTAATAATTTAATGTAGCCAACATGATAAAGGTTTATTTATGACACAAATATATTTACTGGTTTTTTATCTTTTCATAATAACTCTTTCTATATCGCAGTTATGTGAAAATGTCGGTTATAAAGAAACTTTATTACGCACAGCACAGATCATTTCCAGATATTTTTTGACTCGTTATTGCTTATTCTTTCTTTCAGGAAAGGCGTAAATTTTACTGTAGGGGAGAGTGGGGTCAATTGAAACATTTTTTACTTAACTATTTTTAACTAACGAAAAATCCAATATATTATTGGTATTAATTGACAGACGAGTAAAGTGGACTATCCTATACTAGAAAAAAAAATAGAATACCTTATTTTAAATGTTATTATATTAGTTATTAACAATTTTTGACAGTCGTGCACTTGTTACAATTGTCCCCACTTACGGGGTCAATTGTAACAGTTCATAAATTCAACTAAAACATATTTAATTATACATATTATTATAGTTGTGATATATTTTTTTATTGATCGAAATGGTAGTGATATTTTAGGAGTATAAATAATAATGAGCAGAGACCTAAAGGGTTAAACTTTTAACTTAAAGGGGTTACAAATTTTAATTTATGCTGTGAAAGGTGACAAATAAAATAATGCACATGCAACATAATATAAATGATATAGGAAACTATTGGTGGTTCTTAAAGAGTTAAGTAATGGTTTGTAAACATAAGATTATTTATTTTCAGCTGTTACAATCGTCCCTTTACTTATTGTTACAATCGTCCCCAAGACGCCATTTCAGCTTCATTTGTTAAAAACAATGCTAGTTAATTAGCAAAACTAATCTTTTTTTTATTGAAATGTTAATTAAGGTGTCCACTTACATATTCGGTTAATAATTTTTATTTGTTTAAACAAAATTACTTTGTTACAATATAATATTCTAATACCAAAAAAAGTACTTACGTAGCGTGAAAATATCTTTTGTGATCTAACTCTTTCAAAAGTACATAAAAATGGTTCCCAGCAAGGGTGTATTAAATACACCATGTGCGCCACCTAGGAACCAAATCTAGAACCTGACACTCGAAATTTTTGCTCTGTTACAATCGTACCCTGTTACAATTGACCCCACTCTCCCTTTACTACAAATACACTTCTTTTTTATTCATTGTATTTGCTTGCATTGTTTTCAGATTGCTAATGCTTCTTTTAAAATTGATTATTATGGTCAGGGCATATAATAATAGAGATATTTTGCAATTGATTATATTTCATAATTAATTTTTAAAGTGATAACAGTTTTTAATTCTAAAGACTTCTTATGCAAATTATACACAGTGTCAAAATTTGAGGACATTATCAATTTTCGAAATTTAATTGAAGAAATATTTCATTTTTTGATATTTCTTGAGAAGTATTAAATGATTCTTATACATTTTAATGTACAGTTTGCTAAAAAAGAGGAGGGGATCATTTTTTACACTTTTAAACCATTTATGGGATGTTCAAACTGTAAAATGTTTTCTCAAAAAAAAAAAAAAAAAAAAAAAACCATNAAAAAAAAAAAAAAAAAAAAAAAAAAAAAAAAAAAAAAGACCATTTTTCCCCTTCCCCCTTGAAAAAAACATTTCGAAATATTTTTAACTATAACCGTGTCAGAATATACTTATTTTGACCGAAAAACGCACTTTTTTTTTTATGGAAACAGATAAAAAATTTTTTTTCTCAAATTCGATTAGGGGTGTAAAAATATCTTATGAAATCAAATTTATTTACATTATGATGATTAATGGGAAAAAAGTTGAATATTTGGCATAAAAAATGGAAAGTCACCAGTTTTTGGAATTGCAGAGATGCCAACTTACTCCGGACAGCAAATTTATATTTTAAAGTGGTAGTTTATCAATTGAGACTCTTGGTTTAATAAATTCAAATTAGTAGATTTTTATCCACCATTTCTAAATATCTCATGATAAAAGTTTATTTATTACTCAAATATATTCACTGCTATTTTTCTCCATAATAACACTTTCTACATGGGAGAAATGTTAGAATTATTTGGTTTTAAAGAACACACAGAAAGGAACATTTCGAGATTTTTTTGACTGACAAGTCTTCCTTTCAGGAAGAGCGGAATTATTAGTATACTGCAAAAATTCTTTTTATATTCACCGTATTTGCTTGCATTGTTTTCAGCTAGCAAATAATTTAATGATAATTCAAGGATGGATAAAAATATCAAAAGGAACAAAAAAAAATGTAATATATTAGAGTTTTTAATTCAGTTTAGAAAGTGGTATCAGTTTTTAATTCAAATGACTTCTTTATGCAAATTTTACACTGTGTAAAAGCTGGAGGATATTATCAATATTCAAATTTTGTTTTAAGAAATATTTTGACTTTGGATATTTCTTGAGAAGTATTAAATGATTCTTATAGATTTTAATGCATAGTTTGGTGAAAAAAAATAGAAAAATAAGGAGGGGGATCATCCTTTAAACTTTTAAGCCGGATGTTCGAACTGTAAAGTGTTTTCTCAAGGAGCCAAACATCGCAAAAAAGAATAAATAAATAATAATACCCTCTTGAAATATGTTTAACTGTAATCGTAACAAAATGTATTTATTTTGACCAAAAAAAGCTCTTTATATAAGGAAACATATAATTTTTTTTATTGTTTTCGAATGAGCGTGTAATAGAGTTTCATAACATTATGACAATTTGAGGGGGAAAGGGTCTATAAACAGAAATTAATTTGAGGGAAAAAGGTTGAGTATTTGACATAAAAAATGGAATGTTGCCAGTTTTTGGTATTGATATAAACGATTTACGCAAAGCATCACTTGGTTATCGTGTTGACTTTAAATAATTCACTACGTTAAATAACTATTTGTACAGAAGTAAAAGTTGGCGCTTCTATTGTATATTATGTCCTTCATTTTAATAGTTATGCGAAATTTATGATAAATTTCACACTTTCTGTCGAGCATCAGCCTCATTGACTACGGCTAAGGCTCCTATACTATCAGAGCTGACCTATCAAGCAATATTGGAGCAAAAAAGTTCGCA